CTATGCTAACCTTCCAGGTATTTTTCGAAGAGGCATGAGATGAACCTATTCAGCCAAATTCCTCGAGGAATTCCTTACCCTCAAACCTCCATGGAATATTCACCATATACGTCATACCCTCCTTACACTCCTCCTCCTCCTCCTCAATATTACTACACACCTCATCAAAATTATTCTTCAACACCACAAAAGTTTCCATCTTCCTATTCTTACCCTCTTCCAATACGCAATACTCCCAATCTCATTCTTCTAATCAGTATTCTTATCCACAATATTCTCGGACAAAACCAGGCTCCATGATGGAATTTCTCGTTCGAACTAAAAGTCCCGAGGAATTAGTTGATTGCTTTCCTAAAAATAGCATTTGTTCCTTCTGTGGAGGTGGTCATCATTCATTTCTTTGCCCCATTCCTCCTTATGACCATCCTTACTGGGCAACTGCATACCCCACTTCTTCTTACCCACAGTTTACAAGCACAAATGTTTTAGCCATTCCTACATCCTTGCCAAGTAATGAGCCACAGAATCAGTGTAAGAAGACACTTTCAGAAACTTTTTCCGAGTACCTAGAGTATATGAGGGAGAGCTCTTTAGCGATGGAGCAGAGCACTTCAAACACAATGAAGCATATAAATACCATAAGGAGCCATCTGGTAGAAGACCAATCCGAGGAGACCAATAGGGGTGATCATGTGAGTGAGTAAGACTATGATGGTGGGAATATGATGGATGATACCCTCCCAGATGCTTTTGAAGACCCACCTATGTTTGAAGATTAAGAAGAAGATAATAGTGTCAAGTTGTTTTTCCAAGAATACAGGAAAAAGTTTGAAATGGTACAAGCTGTAACTGATGAAGTCACAAATCACTGTGATTTTCATACAGAAACTCCTCAGCCGCTTGATTTACCATTAGTCTCAACACCTGAGGAGGGCAAGGAGAAGATCAGTCATGATGATGGTGCTACTGAGGTAGGTTTGGGTATTGAATATGAGTTGGGAAAAGATGATTACATGCTCCAAGAGAGTGGGGGCGAGGTAGATGATGTCCATAATGAATAATTCCTGCTCCACAAGCAAGAATTCCCCTCTTGTACATATGCATCGATCCACTCTCACGTGATTTCAGATTTGGATGTCTTTGATTCACCCCTTGATGATGATATTTCTTTTTATGCGGAGAATGACAACATCATCCGAAAATATATTGATAAGAACAATGTTAACAAGAGTTGGGATGCCTTCATGGGGAGTGATACAGAGTCCAAAGGAGAGGTTGTGAATTTTCATAATATTTGTGAGGAAGATGAAGACTTTTCCATGGTGCAGTTCAATTATGGTGTTGCTCCTAATCCTTGCTTTGAGACATCTCTTGAGCTTCCAGTGACACCTAGAGTAATCAAAGTTTTCACTCATGTTCTCTGTCCGCCCGAAGAGGATGAGACTTTCATACTTACTTCTATGCTGATCAGGGTTATGAAGACCATGTTCTGGCTACGTGTACTCGAGAATTTAAAGGTCTACGACACCTAATGGGATTTGTTGAGAGGAAGCTGGAGACGTTGATTATTAGTGCACCACTGCAGTCTTTGCTATTTGAGAGCCTATGGGGTAGTTGCGTCGGGCAAACGACGTTAAAAATAGCGTTTCTTGGGAGGCAACCCAAGCTTATTTCTGCATTTTTGTCTTTGTTTAGGTTTGCTTTCAGAAAACCCCCCGAAAAGAAAACCGGGGTGTTTTCTGTTTTTGTTTTTGTGTTTGTGTCTTTTGTTTGTGCAGCTCAGGTTTTGCTTTGGGGATGATGTGCCGAGGATCACTTGACTCAGTCTAGTTCTGCACCGACCAGCGCCTTAGGGTAGTTTCCGCAACTCTTATAATCGCTTGTTTGTAATAATTGACTTGAGTTGAGTTGAGAATGCGTGACCCTTTCCTATTTACCCCCTTGTGTATAGTGCATTTTTGGTCATCGAGAGCGATGCCAAAGTTTAAGTGTGGGGGAGTGAATTGGGCATTCGGGCAGTAGTTATTACATGTGATTATTAAAGTTAGCATGCACATGTGTTAGTTGTATATTCGTAGAAAAGTCATGTCAAATTTTATGAAACTTTTTCTTTAAACTGTGTTTTGTGAGCTGGCTAGCGTTTTGACTATGCTTTTAGGACATCTTTGAAGTGTTTAGGCTTAAATTGTTTGCACTGTAATCTAGTTGTTGAAAGGATGAAGTCATTAGTCACCCATTTAATCAATTCATAAATCATCCATCCCACCTGAAATAGTCCTTTAGGAGAAGCCACTTTGAGCCTGACCGTTTATTCTTTACCCAATTAATTGAGCTCCATAGCCAAATGACCTGTGTTTCCTTACCCGTGAATATTTATGACTTAGTCTTAGTGTTTAGGGAACTAAGGGATTAATTTTCTAAGTTTAGGGAATTTGTGTAGGAGCCCATTTTTGGCACTGTTCCTATGCCCCAAATGGGGTAAGAGCAGTCACTTTTTAAGGATTTGATACTTTCGAGGATTGCATTGTAGGCATGGATTCACTTTGAAATAAATGAACTTTAATTGCTAATTTTCCTTGGTGAGGCCGAGATTAGAATGGGGTAATGTCTAGTAAAAATCCGAAAGATGAAAAATTAATATATCTAGACCTCTTACTTTGCGAAAAAGAGAATGAGGGCCCCGGTCAAAAAGCGTAAGATGAGACTTGGGTATCTTTTGAATGAAACGGCGTTCTTGTGCCAACATGACAAGGAAAACTGAACCTAATTAATTGAACTTGGAGGCTATTGCAAAAATTTGCTTTAGTCCTTCGCATACTTCAAGTATACGTCAAAGCATCAATGTGCCGCGACGGTTTAGCTTAGTTGTACACCATGTCTACTCTTTGCATAAGTTTAACTGATTGTTTCTAAATTGTGGCCTACTAAGTTCATTGTTCCAAAGAATAGCCCTGAAATTCCCGAATGCATTGAGTCTCTGTTAGAATGTTTCAAACTCTCAAGAAAGGGACTGTTTATTGATTATCCATTCACCATTCACCACCGCCTTCACAAGTCCTTCTGATCGGTAACTAGTTTATTTGTGTACGCTGTCACTACTTTGAGGATGTTATGAATAATTTTGTCAAATAGTTTAGCTTGAGTACAAAGATATAGTTTAGGGTAGAATTTTCTTGGTTTAGTCTGCATGTTATGTGAATATCCCTGTAACAACGTGTGCATGCTAATGATTTTAATTCCGTATGGTGATTATCGTAAGTCCCGTTGTTTAGTTTGCTTGAGGACAAGCAAAGACTTAAGTGTGGGGGAATCTAATAAGTCCGTATTTAGAAACGCATTTGATGTGTGTTGGGATCAGCTTTTGAGGGTTTTCCTAGATTTAAGGTGTCACAAGTCTCAATTTTAGCTCAAGTTATATTTACCGGGCGTTGGTTCGAGTTTTGTGTTGTGTGGAGTCAAAATCGGAAATTTAAAGTCTGGCACCGGCGCTCGAGAAGCAATCGGGAAGAGTTGAAGAGCGTTCAAGAAAGATTTGAGAGTTTTGGAGGCCACCGGAAGATTTACGACGAAGATTTGATGAAGAAGGGGACTTTGGATCGATTGGGGACGAACGGGGAAGAAAACAGCAAGAATACGGTTCTAGAGCAGTCCACACGCCCCGCGGGTGATTCTGAGAGCAAAAAGTTGAGGGGTCTTAACCGCACACCGCGCGGACGACCGTGCGGGCTGATTTTCGGCCTATGTTCGGATTTTTCTATAAATAGGCCCATGTTTTGCCTGTTTTTGACTGATGAGCTTAGAGAGATAAACCCTATTTCGACTTTTGAGAGCTTTTCAAGTCTTGTTCTTCAAGATTAAGAGATTCTTTGTAAGTTCTATCTTTTTAATTAATGACAATTAATTCTTTTCATCCCAATTTTGTTGATTCTTCAATTATGAATTGTGAGTAGTTTAATTAGGGATTTGGGGTTGATGAAGGGGTTGATCATGGTGTATGGCTAGATTCTTGTTGGTTTAATTGCATGAATGCCGTTTAATTTGTGTATGGATATTTTAATTGATGTCTCTTGTAACTTAGACTGCAGCTAGAATTACAATTGCATGTAGAATGAATTAAGAGAGATCTAATTTGTTCTAGGATACATTCACACACACTTAATCGTTCGCTAAGAGATTAGTAGCGATTAAGGAGCCGTAAGCGCGCTCGTCTTGGCAATAATTTAGGATCCTGTTGCATGAGAGATCAGCCTAGTCCCCTAAATTTTTGTACTCTACGCCGCGAGAGCGGTAAGAACTTAGTAATGATTAGCTAGAGTCAATTAAATTAAATTCATATAATTAGGCCTGATCTGCCAGAAATCTGGTTATCCTGGAATCACCCCTTATTCCCTTCGTTGTTAATTAGAAAGAAACCAATCTTTTATTTTAATCATTCATTCGCATTAGTTTTAATTTTAATTCAACCTAACCAATCAATCTCGCACCATTGCATTTTATTTTATTTATTTTCCTTTTAATCACTTAATTTAGTTAATCTTTAATTCTCTTTTGTCTGTCCCTGTGGAGACGATACTCGTACTTTTACCCACTTTTCTACAACCATTTTAAGTGCGAGAAAACACACATCAATATCTATACGGTATTACAGTATTACGATATTTCGGTATACCGAAAATTTTATACGGTACATATCCATACTATTTCGGTGCGGTCACATACCTTACCAAAATTTACGGTAACGAAAAATTTCGGTAAAATTGGTACATTACGGTACGATAAGATCGGCATTTCGGCCTTTTCGATATTTTCCCCCAATCCTACTAAAAACCACACATACATCTCAACAGCACAAACAAATCTCAAAAGTGGGAAGACATCTCGAAACCACAGCAACGAAACTAATTAACTCAGAACCAATTGGTTACTATACGCACACACACATCCATAAAAGGGGCTCATAATCCGTTGGTCTAACTGAAATTTACCTTTGAGTCATTTCAGTCAATGTTGTATGCACCATTTGGGTCAATGTTAGTTGTATTTGTTGGTTTAGTTGAAATTTACTTTTCTCCCATTTCAGTCATTCCGTAGAAGGGCATGTATACAAAGCATCATTGAAGTAGAAAAGTATTGAGAAGTTTTGACTTGATATGAATGGAAAGTATTTTGAAAACTATGTATGTAAGAGATGGATTTAATTAAATAAAGAATGAGAGGGCACAATTGCACAAAATACAAATAGTATGTGTATGTGTGGATACCTATTTAACTTATTTGTTAAGAACATATTCTACCCTCTAAAACCTAATTGATAGCCTTAAAAAACCTAGTTTAAGAAACAGCTTTAAGGTGAGCCAAGATTCCGACAAGAGGCGCATTCACATAAGTAGCTGGCTCCAAGTGCGTCGAGTCAGCTCTATCGTCGGCGAATTTGTCATTTCCGTCGGGGCCTCCGACGACAGCCCCGACATGCAAATTCGGGTTCGGGTTTGGGGACTGGAAATATGGAGTCCCATCTTTGCACCCAATGGGTCCTGGATGATCATCAATGGAAGGTATCGAAGACCCGCGGTGGTGTATTTTCTGAGGATATTTTTCACCATACCCCACCATGTAAGACACCCCCATAGGATTGTCTCCGAGGATATAATCAACCTGGGATCTTGCAAACTCCGTAAGCCTTGCTGGAGTACCAAACACGCCCTTACCGCAGTCCACTGTTCGTTTGGCTGATTCCAAGTACCGTCCATATGTTACGAAAAGAAACGACAAAGCTGCTGAACGTTGAATGTTACACACCGCATTTTCTTTGAATATCAGCCCCCCTGCAAAAAAATTCAAAAATAAGTTAAGGTGCGTTTGACTCTAAGAAGATACGTAGTACGTAGTACTCCGTATATTACATTCAAAAATAATTTCTGTTCTCTTATCCCATTTATGTTCCCTATTCTTGTGCTTGACATGATCGAGGGAACATATTTTCTATTGTAACATTTTTTTTTGGAGAAAATTGGACCCCAAACTTGGCCTTATTATATCAAAGGGTTAAATGGAAATTTCATTTTGCACTCCATAATTTCGGTGATATTGAACTTTGCGCCTATTTGCACCCATCAGCCCAAAAATTATAAAAGAGTGGGGTGAAAGTCAAGTGATTTTAAAGTGAAACAAAGTGCAAATATTAATGATTTTGAAATAGTGTGTAAAGTCAAATATCGTCCAAAATATAAGGTGAAAAGTCAAATTCTCACTCAGTTATATTTTGGTGAAGAAGTGTGGAATAAGTAAGAAATTCTTATTATTGTTTGCTTTGTATTGTAAATAATTTTTTAAATTTGTTTTTTTCCAAAAATATTATTAAAATAAAATTCATTTACACAAATATGACTAATAGTTACTACAAGGTAGTTTCATAGTAACTAAAATTTAAAAATTGAACATGAGTTACTATAATTGCATTATTATTCTAGTCACTATAGAAAACAGCCTTAATTTTAATCATATGTGTAATTATTTTAGTTTCAAATATTTTATGTTTTACACTTACAAACGTTACATTCGAAAATTTCGTGTCCAGCTGATTTTTCAAGATTACATTTTCCAGCAAATTAGTTTATTTTTTACGACAGCTTATTTTTCAGTAACAAAACAAAAAGTGGGATAAAATGACAAGGAAAAAAACGAAATGTTTCCTTTAATCAAATGAATCCGTATAACCAAATGACTAGAAACTATGAGGAACATACCAGGAGTAAATGTCTCAGTTTTTGAAGGCGATTCGGGAAGAACGTTGCAAATGAGTGCATCGGCATTGGGTATGAATGGGGTGAAATCTTTGCCACCGCCCCCATTTAGAATATACTGCATCCAAAACGGTAAGTATATTGTCCGTTTACTACTTGGTACATAAAATATTGTACTCCCTCCGTAACTTAAAAATCTTCCCACTTTCCTTTTTCGTCCGTAACACAAAAATCTTCCCATTTCTAAATCTTCCCATCATACCCTCAATAATTCTTAAAATAATACACTATTACAACTACTTTTTTTGGATTTATCCTACATTCCACCACATTATTCCACTATTTTCCCATCATACCCTCAATAATTCATATCATCTTTCACTATTCTTAATCTACCTACTTTTGAAATGGGAAGATTTTAAAGATACGGAGGGAGTAAGTAGAATACTCACTTTGTCCCTTAAATTAGTGTTAGTAATTATAATTAAGTTACATATTTAAATAAGCTATACCCCTAATTCAAATGACAAGTCACAAAAATATTGTGCATAAAGTTCAATAGTGATTAGTGATTAGTTGGTCGCACGAATCACATCTCGGATATTTGTTCTAGAATAGAGCTGATCGCCGTTGTGATTTTATTTACAAAAAAGCCTCAATGAATAGATCTGATTTATTGACGAGTAAAATCACAACGCGGCTCAATAGAATAGAGCTGATTACTCGCAACGCGGATTAATTACTCGCGTTGTGATTTTATTTACAAAAAAAGCCTCAATGAAATGTTACTAATAAAAAACCTATGAACAAAAATATGACTTGGTGATATTTTTTTCTTTTTATTTTTTTTATTCTTTTTACCTCAGAGGGTGTCGGGGGAGAAGGTTCAGGGGGCCTGAGGTAAAGTTAGATCAATCTCACTCCATTGAGAATTGAACCCGAGACCTAGCTCCCATAAGGGAGAGTGAGTCGACGATCCGCTGAGCTTGACCGCCTCCTCAAATATGACTTGGTGACTACATATATACTTTTATAGTCACTAATACATAAGTTTTGAACACAATTGTAATCATATTACTAAAAGTTAATAATTCACATTTTCGCATGCTACTATTATTTTAATCATTGATTAGGAATAAAGGGTGAGGTTAACCTGAGAGGCGAGCACGTTTATGCCGGCCTGTTTGTTATCCCAACTAAACGCAGTTGCACCCATCCATATATTATTTATGTTCTGCTTCACATAATCCCAGTACCATTCCGTATTTGTAGCTTTGTGAAGCCATGCTGCAGCCCAAATTAAATCATCCTACCACCAAATTAAAGTAATTAAGAGCACTTTAATATCATATACAATAGGGTGATTTTAGGCAATTCAGTACAAAAGACATAATGTAATACTATCGTATAATGGTTGTACATGGTTGATTTGGAGGCTTTGCTTTCAATTTCGAATAAATAGCTTAGGATTGGACAATACTATGTATTTTGTGTGAGAAAGTCAATTAACCAAAAAAAACTACTAGTTTGAAAGAAAAAGACATACGAAGTATTAGAGATTACATTGGTTTCAAAGTAATTCTCCCGATCCAATAAATTTAGTACCAAAATAATTTTCGTTTTAAGATTCTAATAAATGACTTCCCTTTATTTTCCAAAACTACATCAAGTTACTCTTCTCATTCTGCAAGGACTTCATCATCAAGTTCCCGAGCAAAAAAAACATTTATACTCCGACAACTCTGAATCTTTAAGTTAATGCGTCTCTTAAAAAAACACTTCTCAGCTTTTAGCTTTAAAAAAACAGTTATTTTCCCAAACACCACAACTTTTATTTTTCTCGGCTTCAGCGTCAAAAGTGTTTTTACTTTTTCTATTACACAAAAAACACTTATTTTACCAAATACTACCTACTTTTATTTTTCAAAATCACTTTTTTCTCAAACACTATCAACTCTTATTTAATCACTTCTGCCCATTTCGTTAAAAAAAACACTTTTTTAAAAGCAGAAGCTGTTGCAAACAGACCCTTAATTTGTATGCGTGCAACTTTTTAAATTTTAACATGTCAAATTACACAAGTTGGAGTGGTTAAGCTTAATTATATATACCTGGTAACCACCGAAGTCGCAATAGAATGGACAAACCCATTTCCCAATGCTATCATTGTATGAACCTCGGAATTTATCAGCAAAATCAAAGACCTGACAAGTGAGAAGAAGCTTAATATAGTCCAAACAATCAGGATTGTGTAATAAGAGGCTATGCTTTAAACATAAATTTCATGTTGTAATTAAACACAAGCCCATTTATAAATAGAAGGGCACAAAATATTATTGTTTTCCCCTTAATTGTCTATTGGTGTGGTGTCTACAGGGCATGCGTAGGTAAGATTGAAGTTCTTTCATAATTTAAAATTGATGATTTAAAACATTTAGAACACTTTTGGCAAAAAAAAATTTCAGTTATCAGTCAATTTAAATTTTTTTTCCCGAAACAAGTTGATTTCGTGCTATGGATTGAGTAGAAATCAAAACATATAATGGTGGAGTTGTTTTTCTTACTAAAACGGTTCAACTTATTATAACTGACCATTTTAGTGATCTACTTGTATATTTTTTCTTAAATTTATTAATAAAATATATTCTAATGTGTTTTCCCAATTCAACAGATTCACTTAGAATTTTATGAATTTCAGCAGCTTCAAATGATTATATTCAGGCTTTGTCTATATTGAAAAATCTTTGCCACCAAAAGCTTGATTGAAACCATATTACTATACCCTACCTATTTGGCGGCCCAAAATAATGAGCCCCGAACCTCTTAATAGTAAGCCCAAAATAGTGAGCCCAGAACCTCTTAACACAGAATTGCTTCATTGTTAATAGTGTGGATGATTATATTCCATGAGCTAGCTAGGTTCAATTCGTTACCTTGAAAGCCCTTTGCAAAAGGCCATTAGAGTAGTTAGGGTCTGAATCTTTGAAAGCCATGGAAGCAGCCGCCAAGGCGGCGGCTATCTCGGCAGAAACCTCGGAGCCGGGAGCCTTGTCGGTGACTGCGAAAGCGGTACGAGGAGTGTCCATATCCTCAGGCCTCTCCCAGCAATTGTGATCAGCTACAGGCTCACCTACTAACCCAAAAACAACATTCTCTTGGTTGGTAGCCTTTAGCAAGAAGTCCGTTGACCAGCGTACGGCCTCAAGTGCATGGGTCAACTCCTCGTTTCCCATGTCTCCTCCGTATTCCACCACACTCCATGCAAGCAATGTGGTGGTAAAGGCCATTGGGAAAGTATACTTTACGTTGTCACCTGCATCGTAGTATCCTCCTGCCAAGTCCACCTACATTCACCAAAGAAACAAAAAGAAATCTGATCATATTGTAGCATGTATCGACATAGAAATGGTCGATATGCACTTTTACAATTATGTTCTTCGTATTTGAAAACAAGCAAAGTTGAAAAAAAAGTAATTGTAAGAATGTTTGATGACAAAAGTGTCCCAAATTTGATGGTCTTGTTTCTTAATTATTCACTTGGCCAACACAAATCATTCTCGATCTCTTACTTTATAATTTATACTATATAAGATATTTATCAATTTTGATTCTGATTTTTGCGACTGTGTAAATCTTTTAATGTAGTTTTTGAATATGTAATTTTTTTTCTAAAAAAATTGTGTGGGCATAGTGATCCGTTTGCTTTATCGTCAGTCAAATCTCGTAAACCGCTATCGGACAATCAAATTGGTACGAAAGGAGTACTTTGTAAGGAGTATATACCAAATAAGCCCTCGAACTTACATAAAAAGTGCAAATCACCCCTTATATAGGAGGCTTTGTCCGACCGTCACCATTTGGGGCGGTTCCTGGTGGAATTTTTTGATGAAATTTTGTGAGCATCTTATTCATTAAGTCTAATTTATACATACCAAATTTCAGCTAAAAATTCAATCTAGACGGTAGTCAAATGAATTTTTGAAGATAACCGCGCAGTTAAACAACGCAGTATATTTCAGAAAATCATTTGACTGCCTTCCCGGTGTAATGTTCCAATCAAAAAGTCCATCGGAAACCACCTCAAATGGCGACGGCCGGACAGAGCCTCCTATATAAGGGGTGATTTGCATTTTATGTAAGTTCGAGGGTTTATTTGATAGTTCTCCCAAAAATTAAAAATCTGTTTTAAGCATCTCTCAAACTTTCAACTATTTACTTTGAATGTTAAAGAAGCACCTATTTGAGAATACTTTTTTAAATATAAGAGAGATTTACGTACCTTCCAATCTGAACCATCTTGAAGAGCAGAATCTTTTCTCCAAGACACACGTTGGTTAGCGGGTAGTTTGCCGGACCTCTGCCCCTCAAAGAATAGGATGCTTTTGGACAAAGCGTCGCCATAGTTATGATCAGACGCCATAACAATGGTTAGCAGGCCAAGCAAAGATAATAGTCCGATAAACGAGCGACTAATTGTTTTACCATCCCTCCCCATCTCTAATTAATTAAAACAAAATCTAAAACGTTAATGTTATGCTATTGTGTTAATTTGCGTACATACACATTTTTAACACCTATATATATACTTCTCTGGATATTAATTCTTTTCCAATAGCATACTTTGCAAAATAATTAAGTATCCCTGGCCTTAATTGGCATAGTCATAAATATATATAGGAGGGATGGTTGATTTATAGGGTGCATATATTATACTCCATCTATTCGATTTCAGTGTTGGCTAATTATTTAATACGTAGTAACATATATGCATCAATATTTAAAATCTATATATTTGGAAACAGTGCTAAGATTTCGTTCTAATGGCACAAATAGATTCATAATTAATTTTTTTTTTGCAAGAAGATTCATAATTAAGATTTATCATGTTGTACATTCATTTAAAGAGATTCATATTGAATATGTACGTAAATAGGGCATGGCAATCTTTAAATTTGGATGCATTAGAGCATCTAATTAAGAATATTTATTATATAGTTCGGATATTTTGGTCGGTGTCCGCTAATAGCTGTTATATTTACATGTGTTTTGCGTATGTGGGTGTGGTTCCGGTGAGAACACCTCTTAACGTGAGAAATGAGAATGCTTCAAAATGATACACTTTATCATTCAGGAAAATGAACATTTATAGTTAAAGTAATGCAAAATTCTAATGTGCACTTTTACGTGTAAACATTTGCACACTTGAAATGCACATTTTCCAATGTTTTATATGTACATTTCTGTTTTACTTGATGCACGAAAGGATCAACACTATATCAACAGATAAATCCAAATATTGCTGGTTAGATTTTAGGATGTGTACCTCTCACTATTTCATTCGTATATTTTGATTGGATTATTCAAATCAAATGATTATTTAAATGTTTGGAGGTTGGGAAATGCAATGAGAAATTTCATTTAATTCGATATTAGAACATAAATAGACTAAAATATATCAATCTTTAACCTACTTAAACCCCCAATTTAATCCCTTAATGATCATTTATTCGATTATTTAACTATTCGATTAGTTTATACTTTTTTTTAGTAAATTTCTTTCTCTTATATATTTCACGTCTTATATAGTGTTCTTGAGGTGTGCCTATTGTGTGAAAGCTCACTTTTGCGATCATTGGGGATTTGATAGTATTTTATTTGTATTTTCACGTTTATTTACTTATTAAATATTGTATTGTGATTAACATGAGTATTAAAGGTCAATTTCTTATCTAAGGCTAGAAATGAATCTCTTTGTCCATTAGGTGTTTGATAAAAGTTCTGAACCAAAAAATTGTGATTTATCCTTTTCATTTTAATTGTTGATGACTATAGTGTACAACATAACCAAGTATGTTAAACTTGGTTCATGCATGCAAATTGCAATTAATATTGAGGTCATTCCCCAACAAATCATTCTTTGTTGGTTCAACTTCTCAACTACTTTACAACTTACAAATGAAAGGTAAAATACAATTACAACTAAATCACACAAATGTTTAAAAACTAAATAATAAAAGTAGACAATCAACACAAATCAAACATAAAAAGATACATTTATGCACTAGTAACTAGTGTGCATCATGTGTCATATCAACGACTTTCTTAGATCTAGCGTTAACTATTTCAAATATGAAACACCGCTCTACTATCTGTAACATAAATTGGTTTTCCTTGATTTAAAACAACCACATGCCTCACATATCACCTTGCTAAACAGAGAAGTAATCATGTCCAATCATGTTGCATGGTCACGCCGAGATATCCAACTAGTAGACTTGAAACCTAGCTAGTTGGATGCCAACGAATGCATTTGTGATTCTTGATTAGTGCGTAATTATTTGATATCGTTGGGATAATCATTGATGAATTGAATTGGATTAACACGTTTTAAGTTTTATTTATTAGCATTTAACAAGTTTTGCACGTGAGTTAATCTGCGGGTTGAAATTTAAATTATATTCTCTTGGGATTAAGCATTTGCATATACACGATATGTATTTGATAGGGAGAACCCTCAAATAGAACCTTATACTATATCAAAAACAGCAACTAAGCCCTTGTACTATAAAAACACCCAATCACACCCTCGAAGTTGTAAAAAACACTCAAATCAGCTATATAGCCGGTTGTTCACCACTTCACCAGTTTTCCGGTTGTCCACTTACGTGACTGCCACGTGATCTTTATAACAAGAGAATTTGATAAGGTGGATCTTTTGTTGCTAGTTGGGTGCTTCATATGAATTTGTTTTTACGTGGAAACTAGGACCATCGAAAATCAATATTAGATGAAGAAGAAAGTTTTAATTTAGTGATGGAGGAAATTATAGGGGGCGAAGAAAAACAAGGGATTGTGAGGAAGGTAGGGAAGATAAAGAATCATAAAGAAAAAAGTTTAAAACAATGACGACATATAGGCCATGTGAGCGAGAACACCGGGATACCATTTAGTTACCGGCTAAAATGACAATTTGGTTGATTTTAGTTAATTTGAGGGTCTAATTGAGTGATACTTAAGTATGAGGACTTAATTGACATTTTTGATATAGTAAGAGGGTCTGTTTGATAGTTTTTCCTTATTTGATGTTTTATATGATAATAATTGAATCATGACTTTATGATTTTCGTATCGCCGCCTCTGTGTTCTTATTAGTTATTGGATGCATTATACGGCATACACATTGGGATTGATTTTCATTTCATACGTATGTGTTCATATAACGCCGCTTCCCATATTTTCTTATTAATAAGTGAATTCTCACTGCTTCCAATATTTTCTATATCGATCTCATTAGCCCGCAGGCAGTTTTACTAAAACTGTTGTTGCTACCCAACTTTGTAACTTTTGCCCATCCGGAGGGGGGGGGGGGGGGGGCTAGGTTGAAGTTATTTGTGCAACATTTATTTTCTTTCGTACAAGTTTGTTTTATGTACACTTTTTTTCCTTCTTTCAATTCTAGTATTCTAATTAAGGAGTTTCTGACAGAAGTGGATAGCTAGTGTAGCAAGACTTTGAGTTGAACTTTTCTTCCACATATTTATGTTATATGTATAATAACTTGGAAATGAAGAAAGTCAAGAAACTAAGAATGTATTATTGGTTCCTAAAATTTCTCACTTTTGTTTGTTAATCATAATCATTATTACCACAGTGTCGCAAAGGCTCCCTCCTACGGTGGGATAAGTGGAGATCAGATGTAAGCAGTCTTACCCCGGTATTAAAGCAAAGATAGACTATTTCCGGATGACCCACGGTGAAAATCGCTTCGAAAATTGAATGGACTGATTGCTGTTTCATAACAAATTAAAGAACCGCAGACAGTTTAGTGAGTCATTTTTTTTTATTCCATTATATTTCCAAACCAAAAAATAATGAGTCTTTGGCTCCATTGCAAATGATGGATGGCTGTTGTTTGTTCATGTCACTACTACATTTTAAGGTCTAATGTAACAATAAAGTTCTAACATTTGTAGAAAATGTTACATAAAACTAGTCTTTTGTAACATTTTTCTATGTAGCGTTGCATTTGTGTAACATTTGTTACATTAAGTGATCTCCTGATGTAACACTACTTTAATATTTTAGATAAACCATTACATTTTTCCAAATGTAACGGTGGAGTGTGGGGTACGGAGTATTAGTATATTAGACTATTATATTAGAGGTTATATCCTAAGATATCTGCACGAGTAGATCAGTTGGTTGAGCGGTGGGAAATTGGATGAAAGAGGTTATAATATCCTTATAATATCCTAAGAGTATATCCTAAGGAGAACAAAATTTCCGTCAAAGGAAAAATGGCAGTGCCCGCCAATCCGCAAGCAAAAAAAACCCTAATTCTCATCCAACTATTCAGCATGAATTATAAGAGTTTCTTGCAGCATAAGGACGGAGTAATAAACTACTCCTTATGCCTCCGCCATCTAGAGATGAAATTTCTAGGCTCTGGTAAGGATCCTTATCCTCAATGATTCAGCACCAACGATTTAGCTATCATTGCCTCGAACCCTCTCCCACTGTTTGACTACATATGTGTAAGTACTAAATTATTTCATTACATTTAAGTTCGAGTTGGGTCAAATATAAATAAGCTCTCTTATGAACACCGAACTTGTCACTTTATTGTGAAAGTTTCAGGTTTCCGATTTCACAAATATTGAGGCTCGTGATTAGTGCAGCTAGATTAGAAATCATATTTATGTGGTTCAAGGATAATAATATTCAGAGGTACGTTAACCTAACTCTTTGATTGATGACTCTTGAATTGATTGATGACTCTTGAATTACACTTGCGTAAAATTACTATGACTCTTTGATTGACGGATCTTTAGTAATTAGAATACAACATGTGTTGAATATCCAAATTAACCAATAAAAGGTAAAGCAGTTGTCATAATGAATATTCCTCTAAAGGAAGAGCGGTTCTGTGAATATTAAACTAGGGAAGTATTATTCAGAGCACAATAAGTCGTTGTGAATATGCCATAATGAATTAGTAACAAGGTTGAGAAGCTATTAATTTAGCTAATATCCCCTGATGACATATAATTATAGTACCAAAATCTGTTAAAATAGTTGACTAGCATATATAGGTTTAATGTTGGTTTAAGCTCACAATGATATTAAATATATTTAAATACATTTAACTAAAGGAGTATATGTAGAACTCTTTTGGTAAACAAAATGAATTATAAGAGTTTCTTGCAGCTCCTTGATGCTTTTATATTCCTTAGTGAGTGCATGGAGTTTAATTAAGATTACAAGTTAAAATGTTTTGCTTTCTTTTAAAGTTCTTTCCCTAAAAGAGTTAAACTTTTGTTAAAGCCCCGACTCTATTACGTAGTTGTGAAATCAACAAAGTTCAATTTGTCACTCATAATAATTAAAGAAAACGGTAGCAGACTCCTTTGTTTGTATTATTCCAGAACTTATTTCTTTCATACGTTGTGCCATGTAATTTTTTATAGTTTGTGCTAGTCTTTAGTTGTTGTATTCCTTGCTCACAAGTAATTCGTTGTGCCATGTAAATTTTTATACGTTTTGCTAGTCTTTGGTGGTTGTACTCCTTGCTCACAAGTATGTCGCTCCCCACAATGAAGTCTAAATAAGTATGCTTTATTAGGAATCATTCTCCAAAAAATGATCATTTTGAACTTTTTGAAATTATCTAATTGTCTGTAAAATACTTTTACTTTCTGATTCACTCTTTCTGGCGTTTGGATCCCTTTCACTCTAAA